GGGGACTTAATCAACCTTTTTTTTTTTTTTTTTTTTTAATTTTTATATTTCAAGTAAGTTTTCAAGTAAGTTATCACTTTTTTATTTTTATAATGGGAATGGCTCAAAAGGGTAAGTACAATTTGTTGTTTTTTCAGTTTATTGCTTCCTAACATTTTTCAAAGCATGCCAATTTAGTGGTTTTAAAAATTTATTAATATTTGTTAATGAATACTGAAAATATCACACAGTTTTTAATTTTTTTGAGTAGTTTTCTTTATAGGGGCAGTAAGTAAAATGTTTCCTGTTTTATTTTGTTCCCCAGTTATTTTTTACAGTACACTTATGATATGTGCTTTGAAAATAGATGTTAAACTTGAGTTTAAATGAAAAATGTCTTTCACTCCACCTATATTTTGCCAAGAAAATGAAGAAAATAATTCAAAATTTGTGGACATTCAACAGTCACAAAATACTTCCAGAGTTTCAGAAGTTCCCCTTCAGAACTTACGCTTAGCATCTCAAGAAGTTCTTCAAAAAGCTCAGCAAAGTGGGAGATCAAAGTGTCTCAGATGTGGTGGTTCAAGAATGTTCTACTGCTATACATGTTATGTCCCAGTTGAAAATGTACCTATTGAAAAGATTCCACTTGTAAAGGTTGGTAAAAACTTTAATTGTTTGAAAGTAGGAAAATAGATTTTAAAAGTTGTCTTATCTATATATGTGCTAATTTAACTCACAGGTTTGATATCATAAAATTGAATTGTATTAATGGAAAATTTAAAACAGAGACAAAACACTTGAATCTGAGATGAATGGTATTACTTTGAATGATATCAGTAACTTTCATTTAACATAGCATTATGTTATATATAAAATATTAACATAATTTTTAATGTAGAAAAAAATGTACTATTAATTTGTATATTCTAAGAGACCGGTTTATAAGCTATGTAAAGAATCTTAAAAAACCACGTTAGGTCCTTGGACTACTCCTTGAAAAACACTGTACTGACAGAACCAAGGTTGATTTTGCCTAGTTTTTTGATTTAGTCCCAAGTTATATGTGGAGTTACAGGAAATGGCAGTGACCAAAACTAAACATAACTAAAATTAAAGTGACTGAGACCTATTCATTGGGGTATTACAATTGTAGTGATTTTAAGCCAGATTTAAAAATTGATTAGCATTGATTGCTTACTTTTACACTTTTTGGTACTTACCAAGACTGCTTTTGTATACACAGTAGGTACAAGGACTATCATGTCTGCCTAATCAAAGAAGAATTTATTACACATATGCTAACAGGTTCAGCACTGATCTGGACTTTAGGAGTAGTTAACAGGTTCAGCACTGATCTGGACTTTAGAAGTAAATCATATAATGTATAAAATCTGATGGCTGCTTTAAGGACTTTAGAGAGACTAAAATCAATACATATAAACTCATTAGAGTAATAACTACATTTAAAAATATTTAATGTGATTTTAAGATTTATTTAAATTTGGAGTAAGAAATGCACTTTAATGCTTGAATTTTGTTACCTGAATTGCAGTTTAGCCTGTCTGTCATTGTGGCAAGTCCATGGTGTCCTCAGGAGTCACAATGGCCAGTATAATGGAAAGTTCACTGATCAAAAATAAGGAAGAATTAGGAGCTCTGGTAGCAAATTGGCTAAAGCACTTGACTGCTAACCAGAAGGCTGTAGGTTTAAACCCACCAGCCACTCATTGGAAGGAAGGTTGGGCAATCCTACTTCCGTAGTGATACTGCCTCGGAAACCCAAGGAGGGGTCGCTATGAGTCGGGGCCGACTCGACGGCACATAACAACAACAACATAAACTTAATAGTTTCTTCAGAAAAATTGAGAACTTGAGGATAATAATTCCTTTTTAATTTTCCTATTATCTTACCAGAATGTTACAGTTCACAGTATAGTTTTTGAAATATATACAGAATTATTCTAGCTTCTGTATCATAGCCGTACAAAAAAAATGTATCTCATTGCAAGCTTTATCTTAAGATGTGGTATATTAAAAAGGATTATAGATCAGAATAATAAAAGTCAATAATATATTGACACAGCTGATATTCTCATAGAAATTTAATAATAACTATTTTCTAAGTCAGGGGTCTAATATTTAATGCAGATGACCCAAAACACCATACCAAGTATTGATCAACAAAAAACGGCCTACCAAAATGCTGGACTTAGCAGGACTTTTTACAGTGTTGATTTTAATCAGCATGTATAAAATTCTATATGTTAATATATATTAAGAGTAATTAAAACTGTACAAAATATTCTTTATAATTTATGTTTTATTTTTACTATAACAAATCGTTCAGTATTTGCTATTTAGATAATAATCTGTTTTGGAATGGAGGATGACTACATGATGAGTAAGCCCCTCTCAAACTTTAAATATTATAGTCCAGAATATGATTTTTTTTTTTTTAAGCCTTGGGAGATGCATAAGCGAGTATTAAAAAGTCCTCTTGTGTTTTTTTTGTAAAATGGGAAATAAAAATCAGAAGGAAGGGAAAGAATTTCAAAGACTTTCTTTGCTCTGTTAGAAGAGTTGATAATCACATGGGAAAAAGCCTGGGCTTTGTACTAATGGTATTTTGTGAAACTTGGCCAGAAAAGTTTGTGGTAAATCTTCTAATGACACATAGGTGTTAGAGAACAGGTTGATATCCTTTTTCTGTTTGAAAACAGAACAGCTCTACTCATCTGGTCAGAAGTATTGACAGTATACTGTAGCCTGACATTATTTAAGAAGTATTCCTTTAAATGTGAAGTAGAATATAAACATGTCATTCCATGATTTGATTTGTGTCTTCGCTTTTGTTTCAGAGTGTCTAAAGTCTCAGGCTTGCTCTCAGAGAACTAAATACTCAGAGAACTAATTCCACGCATATATTGTATTATAAATTTTAGCCCATAAAACATTCTCATTTTATCATGTAATTTTAAAAATAGGGTAGGTGCATGATTTATAAAATATATTAATAGCTTTCAGTCCCATGTCTTTGATATAAGCAATAGCCTTTAAGGTAGCCAGTGTATCTGAAATGTTGGTCAGCCCTACTTATCAGCCACATAAAAAAGTCAATTTTATTGGTAACAGAATACTTTGTCATAACTTGCTTTCTTTTTCTTTCCTCTTTTTTCACCTTTGCTGGGCTAGGATAATGCTGACTAGTTCTGAGGCCCTGGGGAGAGGGAATGTAGTGTAAACTGAGACTGAGTGTTATGAGGAAAGCCTGATGTAGAGTTCAGCCAGAAGTAGACTGATGTAAAATCATTTGTGTGCTGCCTACTTAAATGGTAAATTTCTTATAACCAGAAGTTGGTTCAATGATTTGAAGCAATTGGCTCTAAGTTATAAATGATCAGTAGGCCTAAGCCTTTTGTTACAAACATGGAGAATGGAAGCCCTGTTGGAGAACCTAATTGAAAACTCTAAGGCTTACATATTTGTGTACTTGGATCCTTTTGGAGTATGTCATGTATACAGTCTTCTCTTCACATAATAGTTTAGAAATAGATAAAATACATAAATTGGGATCATTTAGTAGCATGTAGCAGTTGTTCCTTTCAAAAATAGTTCTGAAACTAATGATACACACAAAAACATGGATGAATCTCAGAATAATTATGGGGAGTAAAAGAAGCCAGATGAAAAGAGTACATACTGTGTGATTCCATTTATATAAAATTCTAGAAAATGCAAACTAATCTATAGTGACAGCAGGTCAATGATTGCCTGAGGACTAGGGGCAGAGGTAGAGGAAAAGGGAAGGAAGGAGGCACAAAACAACTTTTGGGAGTGTCAGGTATGTGCATTGTCTTGATTGTGGTGATGGGTTCAAGGGTGATGCATATGCCAAAACTTATTGGAATGGACACTTTAAATGTATGCATTTATTGTATCAATTTCATCTCTTCAATAAAACTATTAAAATGGTTTTCTATCCCAAGGTAAATATCTAGAATTCTGACTGTTTAGTATGGGATTTGGGGTTAGAGAATTGGAGAGTGCTTATTGTAACAAATAAGTCATTTGAAATCTGAAGAACTCATAGCAGGAAGAGTTTCTTATATATAATGGGGGAGATGTAACTTGATTTTCATTTTTGTAATCATAATAGTGCAGGACTTCAACAAGCATTATAAAAAAGCTAAACCAAACAAATCTAGGTGAAATAATGCAATAAATAACTCAACAAATTCAAAGTTTTATTTTTACACAGAGGCAGGGCATAATCTGTAACAAATGAAACTTTAAGGGTAATACTTAGGTAAGATGACTTTGAAGAGAGTGAGTTTTGATTTAAAGATTGTGCTTCCTATACCCATTCTGGTTTTCCAGTTTTTTAAAATATTATTTTTATTTTATTTGTGCTGGTAAAGGCTGCTGCTGAGAACCACAATGTTTATGATAGAGGAAAATGTCTTTGGCACTGGTTGATTTACAGTAGACAGAATTTTAACTTGAACTTTAGATGTAAAACCTTTGCCCAACATTTCATTTTAAATAGCAGAAAGTCAATAAACTTATAGTTATTCTTGGCATAGATAATGAAATGCAAGAAGTTGAACTAATACCTGCAATTTAAATGCAAAGGGCATTGGAGTTTAAGAGCAGATTCCATGTTAAGTGAGTTGAAAATACATGTTCTGTTACATGATTAATAATATCAAGGAAGAAATGTGGGGTGACTTTATGACTTCTCACTTCTCTTAGTATTCTGCTCTAGAAAAGTAGGACTTTCACACCAGGAGCATATTTCTAGAAAATTATTAAGAACTTTCTATTTAAGCTTTGAAGACCATTTTTATTAACATGAACATTAGAATTTTTGTATCTGTTTTGTTCACTTTTCTTTTTTTTTTATTTTAGCTTCCATTGAAGATTGACATCATTAAACATCCAAATGAAATAGATGGGAAAAGTACTGCTGTTCATGCAAAACTCTTAGCACCCGAATTTGTAAATATTTACACATATCCTTGTATTCCAGAATATGAAGAAAAAGACCATGAAGTAATCAGCTTATTATTTTTTTACAAGTCTTCACATTGAATCTAAAAATGAATTTTAAATTCTTTTGCCTTTCTAAACTTATTTGAATATAAGTTAATATTTTTCTTAATGGCCTAGTTCTATCCTTCTGTAGCATTATGCAGTATATCATTTACTTCATTCATGTTTTCAAGGGTCAAATGGCCCTAGACTGAGTTTTTATGCCTTATTTCTTCAGCCTTTTACTCTTTGCCAGTATTTCTATGCCTGCTTTTATTTTCTCCCTTCTCCATTTTCCTGCTAATTTGTTGCAAAATGAGAAACCAGATTATAAATCTGTTGGAATTTCTCCAAAAAAGGGAAAGAAAGACTGAGAGGAATTTTAGGATTTCTCTGTAAATTAAGATATTTAGTACATGGCCTTTGTAACATTTCTTTTGGCTGCTCAGAGACTTTTCTTGCATGTCTAGATACTTAATCATTGAAATGGGTATATTCAATGAGATAATACCAGTCTTCTTGCTGAAAAGTAAATGTTAACAATAGATATAAAAAAATTAGGCCTTGGATACTTCTGAAAGAAGCATAAAGACCCTTTGGGTCCTTTGAGGATCATTTGTTGGTATGGTTAATCTAAAAACAAAATAAAAAATTAATACATTCATTTGTTCTAGGAATAACTTGGTAAGTTTTACCTTTCATTCAAAGTTTAGGTTTGGTTTAGGTTTACTTTATATGGAAAGGCATAGGTTTAGGTTATATGGAAAGTTATGTTTGTAAATAATATGTGAGCATTTTGGGTGTAGGAATATATTTGTATTTCCTTCTCTGGTCAGCTAGGTACCATTCATGTTACTTAAATAGCCTGGTTTCTAATGACATGTGATATATTTATAGATGGAAAAAATGAAGAAGTCTTGGCCTTTGCTAACTGGGTGTAGGAGGAAATATAGTAGTGCACTGTGAATGTTTAACAACCTTTTTATAATTTTAAAATTATGAATTCAAGACTTTTTTGTTTCTTTAATTTTATTATCTTGATTTTATAATATTTTTTTCATAATAAAAATGATCCATGCTCATTAAAGAAAATCTGGAAAACAGAGAAAAATATGGGGGAAAATTACCCAGGATTCCACCAGCATTAGTTCATTTAACAAATATTTTTTTGTATGCCTGCTTTCAGCCAGGAGCTTGGAATGAGGAGGCTCTAACAGTATAAGTTCTCAGTAAAAACATGCTGTAAGAAAGGGGGTATCATGATTTACTTGACTTTTCCTTGAATGCTAGATTTTTTAGTTTCAATTTTTCACTATAATAAATAATACTTTAACAAATATTTTTCAGCATTGTGTGTG